AAAACAGTAACTTCAATCATATTTAGACATGTATGTATTTATCAATGTTCCACCTACTTGTAAGTACACTATGGTTAAATGCTTACGTATCTCTTTACAACCTTGTAGCTGTATATATGTTTCTATATATCTGGAATATGATCTGTGAGTGTGAAAAACACTTAAAGGTGGGGTAGGTAAGTTTGAGAAACCGGCTCGAGATCGCTAGAATTTGAAAATACACAACCGGAGAAAATCTGCCACTTCCTTACAGAGCCCCTCCTCCAACACACACGAACGCGCACATGACCAATGAGGGCACGAGATAAGTTTGTGCACAGATGGAAGGCTGACAGGCAGGTAGGCCATCCAGTTATTTTAGCCGGGCCGACTAAAATGATTGGTCGTGCTTTTTACAGTACCACGGCTTCCACAGATGAATTTTTTTATGGATTTTTTGTCAAAGCACTTCAGATATTCATTGCTATCGGGATGTTAAGAGCATTCCATGGAATATAACAAAAAGTGTATCTCGAGCCGGTTTCTCAAACTTACCTACCCCACCTTTAATATTTGTCAAGGATAATGAATATTATAATGCAAAAAGTGTGATACCTTACAATACATACAAGTACAAGTATCAGTCACAAATAATCTCAATTTGTTATTTGTTTCAAATGTTGCAGTCGTACACTCTTTAAAAAAGGCATTCCTATAAAATAGTACTTACGAACGATACTTAAGTACATGTATTTAGTCACTTTCCTACCACTGGAAACTCCCACCCATGCTATTGAACAACAGTATAACTTATGAAGTAAAACTCCTTCATGTGAAGTGACAGCAAAGTCTGCGGAGTGTATGTAAATGAGCCTTTGTCTGCAGCGCTGATAAGAGGAGCAAAGAGGATCAAAGCTGCAGTTTCACTTCTAAAACAACGCATGCGAGACGGAGAAGAGCGAACCGAGATCTCAGATTGCATCTTTTTCTAAAACCCACACTGATTATTGTGAGGCGTTTGATCTGAGGTGAGCCGGAGGCGCTGGGAGTAAAAACAGTTTGTAGAACAGAGACAGAAATAAGTGTTTAACAAGAAGACAGAGGTCAATGATGTTCTGTACAGTAAAGAGAGGACAAGTCAAGAGTGGATACAGATCAATCTCTCAATACAAGAGTCTGAGGGTCCGTGGTTAAGTTTGATTTTAAGATTTGATGATTTAAATTAAATTACCACACTGCTCAGTTGAATACTCAATGCTGATTGGTCTATTTGGAACTATCTGTGGCCTCTTCTAATGAGAACGTTCTGATCAAGAGATGTTCAGTCATATAAGGAAGTCCGGTTAATTTAACGTCCACAGTATAGATAAGAGCACAAGAGAAGGAAAGAGGACTTGAGAAATCAGGAATAAAAGACACTAGTAAACACTAACGGGAACAATAGAAGAAGACAGACAGGAAGTAAACACTAACTGGAACAATAGAAGAAGACAGACAGGAAGTAAACACTAACTGGAACAATAGAAGAAGACAGACAGGAAGTAAACACTAACTGGAACAATAGAAGAAGACAGACAGGAAGTAAACACTAACTGGAACAATAGAAGAAGACAGACAGACAGGAAATAAACACTAACGGGAACAATAGAAGAAGACAGACAGGAAATAAACACTAACGGGAACAATATAAGAAGACAGACAGACAGGAAGTAAACACTAAAGGGAACAGCAGAGGAAGACAGACAGACAGACAGGAAGTAAACACTAACGGGTGTCACTACCCGATCTGCCGCCCTGCCCTATCTGCAGTGCGCATGTGCGAGATGGTCCGCCATATTGGACAACTCCGTACGGCAATCCAAGTAGGACACTTGACACAGTGGCGTTTGGCAAAGCAGAAAAAGAAAACTCGAGAGAGATGAGTTATTGTTATTACAACGTGACTTCACTATTATTTAACAACTCTTTTTATTGGGTTCTTTTATTTGGGTTTAAATACATTGTCAGAATATGAAATGGATTTAACTTCTGTGAGACAGCTATATGCCATACATTTTAGCATACATTCACAGTAAATATGTATTCAGTATGATAGCTGTCTAACAGAAGTTAAATCCATTTCTCACTTATTCTGACAATGTACTTAACCCAATAAAAAGAGTTGTTAAATAATAGTGAAGTCACGTTGTAATAACAATAACTCATCTCTCTCGTTCAGATTAAGATTGTCGGGTTTTTTGAGTGTTCTTTTTCTGCTCTGCCAAACGCCACTGTGTCAAGTGTCCTATTTGAGTTGCCGTACGGAGTTGTCCAATATGGCGGACCATCTCGCACATGCGCACTGCAGATAGGGCAGGGCGGCAGATCGGGTAGTGACAACGGGAACAATAGAAGAAGACAGACAGACAGGAAGTAAACACTAACTGGAACAATAGAAGAAGAAGACAAACAGGAAGTAAACACTAAAGGGAAAAGCAGAAGAAGACAGACAGGAAGTAAACATAAAAGGGAAAAGCAGAAGAAGACAGACAGACAGGAAGTAAGTAAACACTAAAGGGAACAGCAGAAGAAGACAGACAGGAAGTAAACACTAAAGGGAACAGCAGAAGAAGACAGACAGGAAGTAAACATTAAAGGGAACAGCAGAAGAAGACAGACAGGAAGTAAACACTAAAGGGAACAGCAGAAGAAGACAGACAGGAAGTAAACACTAAAGGGAACAGCAGAAGAAGACAGACAGGAAGTAAACACTAAAGGGAACAGCAGAAGAAGACAGACAGGAAGTAAACACTAAAGGGAACAGCAGAAGAAGACAGACAGGAAGTAAACACTAAAGGGAACAGCAGAAGAAGACAGACAGGAAGTAAGTAAACACTAAAGGAAACATGATAAGGGCTCTGCAGTGTTTCAAGACTTGTTAATAGAAAATAAAATGCAAACAGACTTGGACATTTACAGAAAACTTTGATCAGTGGTGCCGTCATTTTAAGATACGCTGATCACGGAGTTTCAGCCGTTGGTACACAGTTTCTTAACACAGTAAACACTGAGCCTTTCATTTCCAACTGACTCTATCCCAGCACCTCATACATATTCAACTCAAAACAAACATTAATGCATCTCTGGCTCCAATATCCACCCCTGTAGGGTCAAACAAACATCGAACAGAGCAACTAACCCTGACTGATTCCTGTTGTATCTGATAAATCCGTGTGCAATCAGCAGGTTGCATCAGAAACAATCTCTGCGCCTCACGCTGTAATCTCACTGAGCTCAACACACCGGCTCGGGTTTATCTTTTATTTACCAGAAATGTTGACTGAAGCTGTGAGCCGTCTTCCTCCAACTCTTCTTAGGACTTTCATTTGTTTGTTTTTACACACTCAATATCATAGTTAGACACATCATGTACGGATGCAAGCGGTTTTACAATAAAAGCAGTAGTAAGGGTGAAACGCAGGTTATTTTTAACCCTGTTTTCTAATGTTTTTGACACTAGGAGCTCAGGTCATAGGCTTTTGTTTGGTTTTGGTTTTTGTTAGAAAGGTTTAGGGTTGTTGTTGTTTGTGTGTTCCTGAAGGTATAAATGAAACATCTGGATTTGAAGATTTTTGCATTGTATTGCTGACCTTTCTTGGGAGTGGGAAGAGTGGAGAGTCACATCCATGTTATAGGTTCAACATGTCTGAATATATGTGCCAGATGTTCAAATCAAATCAAATCAGGTTTTATTTATATAGCACATTTAAAAGAGATTTTTGGTCGAGCCAATGTGCTGTACATGTAATAAAAACACATTACTACAAATCACAATAAACGACAATAAATTACAACAGATATATATAAAAAAAACAAAATAAAAATAAAACACACGGAAAAGTCAGGAGTCGTGCTCCGCTCTAACTAGAAAGCCAGAGAAGTGTGTTTTTAGTTTTGATTTAAAAAAATATTAACACCAAATCACACAAATCAAGTCAAACAGAGTCAAATCTTTCTGTTTCTGGTGATCCATGAAAACCAAGCAATCATTCAAACATTTTGAGATTGGTTTTGTGTTGTTGGACTAATTCAATTGGTAAAAATCGATAACAGATCAAGCGTGAGTCAGCAGTATGAGTTGGAGATTTCTCCTCTACATCTTATTTAGTGAACTATTCAAGTCAACAGAGGAAGCCTTCGAAAAGTATATTACAGAAACAGAAAAGCGAGAATGTTTCATTAATTTCCGAGCAGTGCATCTGTTCTGAGCATCACAGACTGAAAAGCTTTGTTTTGAAAGCACCATGGCAAATTAAAATATATGAATAATACAAAAAAAACACTTTCGTATTGACAACTTAAAAGGCTTTTTTGAAGCTGATGTGCCTGCTTGCTTCTTGCTGTTTTGAGTTTGTAACCTTATAGCTGATTTCCCTTTTCGTAAGTTGCTTTAGATAAAAGCGTCAGATAAAGTAAGTGTAATATAGCGTCATCCTGACCAAAATATGTTGTGAATATCCTGATCTGTTTGACGTTAATGCAAGAGGCATTTGGTCAAATGTTGTATGAACTCTCTTCAGTAAGGAATATTCGTGAAATAATAATATCTTAATAAAGATAAGAGAGATAAGATAAGTTAAGAATTGTTGTGCCAGAGTTACAAAAATACAATAAACACAGCAGCATAATAATAAAACTGAACACTAACAGTGCAGTAAAAAGAGCAATTAAATATCTACAGGAAACAGAGACGGTCACATAATGATGTAAATATGAACACTATTTAGTAGTGCAAAAAACGTATTGGCAGATACGTTTTTTATTCGCATGTTATTATAGAACATTATTAATAATAATGATATTGCACATGTTATATAGCAGCGAGTGTTTTGTAATGATGGTAATGATATTTATATTGCACATAGTGTTGGTGTGGAAGTTCTCAGTTCCCTCTACTGAAGGGTGAAGAGTTTAATGGCCACTGGGAGGAATGATATTAAACTATGAACTCAAGCCTTTGTAAGATATTGTGTTGCTCTGACCTTCAGCTGCCGAGCGTACTCCACGTGGTTGTCGTAGGCGAGGATGTTTGCGATGAGCCTCTCTCTCTCCGGGGGGAAAGAGGACGGTCCCTCCGTGGCGTCAGGCTCCACGATCACCTTCAGCAGAGTGTGAGCACTCCTGGTCCCGTCCCACACCTGGAGACAAAACACAGGACAGTAAGACTCCAGGGCATCGATGTATAAAGAGAACCAGAGGTGGGAGGTAGTGGAGTACAAATACTTCGTTACTGTACTTAAGTACATGTTTCTGGTATCTGTACTTTACTCCACTACTTATTTTTCTGAGGAGTTTTTACTTTCTACTTCTTACATTTTGAACCCAAATACCTGTACTTTCTACTTCTTACATGTTGAACACAAATACCTGTACTTTCTACTTCTTACATGTTGAACACAAATACCTGTACTTTCTACTTCTTACATGTTGATCACAAATACCTGTACTTTCTACTTCTTACATGTTGAACACAAATACCTGTACTTTCTACTTCTTACATTTTGAACACAAATACCTGTACTTTCTACTTCTTACATTTTGAACACAAATACCTGTACTTTCTACTTCTTCCATGTTGTACACAAATACCTGTACTTTCTACTTCTTACATTTTGAACACAAATACCTGTACTTTCTACTTCTTACATGTTGAACACAAATACCTGTACTTTCTACTTCTTACATGTTGAACACAAATACCTGTACTTTCTACTTCTTACATGTTGAACACAAATACCTGTACTTTCTACTTCTCACATTTTCCAAACAGGCTGGTTCCTTTAGTTTGAATGTGTGTTTGGTGGCGTGATCATTATTCTTTAGAGTCATTGCGTGCCTATTGATTTGAACACGATCCGTGTATCCATCATTTCCTGGTCTTCTCTAAAGAAGAGGGACCAATGAAAACGTTGTCATGTTGCCGTTGTTCAGCATGGAAACATTCATTAGCTAACAATGACATTATTGTTCTATTAATATAAAGGGAGGTCAGGTACTCTTTAAAACAGCTGCTAGTTATGGGTACTTTTTACTGAAGTACATTTCAAAGCCCTCTTTACTTTGACTTGAGTAAAGAAGTTTAGTCAGTACTTCTACTTTTACCACAGTATTTTTAAACACGAGTATCTGTACTTCTACTTGAGTAAAGCATGTGTGTACTTTGCCCTCTCTGAAGAGAACTGAGTAAGTGTTGGAGGCGGGACCCCGTCAATTACCATAATAGTTTCTCAGTTGTGCATGAGGCTAAAACGACCTCAGTCTCAAGAACAAAAAAAACCCAGATCATTTTGGATCTTCCACAGGCATGGGGTCCATTTTTTTAATGAAATACCTCGATTTAGACATTGTGACGGCGTTGTAGGTTTGGTGCTTTTATAAAATACTACCACAATGAGAAATGTGACAAGTTATCATTATCAGTAATGTGGATATGATGTCTAAGTAATGGCCAATTATAAAAGAGCTTCAACAGTTTGGTAAATTCAGAAAATGACATCACTTACAACCAGGAAATAACTTATGATAATACGATATTCAAAATCTAAGAAGATATCTAGTCTTATATCAAGTTAAGTTCCATAAAATATTGATATATTGCCAAGCCCATTAGCCCTTAAAATGTGTTGCAAGTAAGTCTCCGTCATAAATAATATTGAACAGCCTTATTCTTGATTCTGATGTGAACAGGCTCTAATATTACATATAGAGCATCACTGTTAGATGTGTTTAAAGGTCTCCTATCATGCAAAATGTACTTTTTCATGTCTTTTTGATATGCGTCCCCGGTGTGTCAGGAGACTCACAAAGTGTCCGAAAATAAAACTCTCTCTTTTCCTCCGTACCCAAATCTCTAAAAAACGGGGGAACAACGGAGCTGATCCATCAAATATATATATATTTTTTTAATGCTACGGACCCAGAATCAGCACTTCTCTAACAGGGCTGAAATAGAGGGGTATGAGGCTACAATGGGTATTCCGTTTGGTATTTTGAGCAAAACACTTCATAAACATGTTTTTTTATATATCTGAGACCTATAATATACGCCTACAAATAGTATAATAAGAGACCTTTCATATCATTCGTCACCTATCATGCAAATTCCACTTTTCCATGTCTTTTCTACATCAACATGTGTCCCCTCTTCTTCATGTCTCTTCTACATCAACATGTGTCCCCTCTTCTTCATGTCTCTTCTACATCACCATGTGTCCCCTCTTCTTCATGTCTCTTCTTCATCAACATGTGTCCCCTCTTCTTCATGTCTCTTCTACATCAACATGTGTCCCCTCTTCTTCATGTCTCTTCTACATCAACATGTGTCCCCTCTTCTTCATGTCTCTTCTACATCACCATGTGTCCCCTCTTCTTCATGTCTCTTCTTCATCAACATGTGTCCCCTCTTCTTCATGTCTCTTCTTCATCAACATGTGTCCCCTCTGTGGAAAGAGACTCTGAAAGTTTCAGGAACAAAGATTCTCTCTCTTTTTGTCCTGATCCATTTCTATAAAAACCTGTCTGAAAATGAGCTGATCAGATTTTGGCCACTTTGTGATGTCATAACGATGTTTTGTCTTGTGTAACCATTAGCCAATCACCAACCAAGGTAACCCCCCCCCCCCCCCCCACACCTTATCACCTGAATCTCCTCCTAGAGCACCATTGTGTTCTTTTTAACCAAATCTCTCTCAGAGGGGCGTGGGGAGGGGCTCCTTATTTTCATCTAAAGTAACAGACAGAGAATCAGCACTTTTGGAACAGGGCTGAAACAGAGGGGATTATGGGATGCTGCAATGATCTGTTTGGTGTTTGGAGCCAAACACTTCAGAGACATGTTTGTATCTGAGACCTATAATATATTGATGAGAAACAGTATAATAGGGGACCTTTAAGGGCAATCAATGCTTCACAAACTCTCAGCTGATGCTGATCTGAGGTGCTTTAGGAAAGGTATAAATATCTGTTCTCAGTGTAATAAACTGTGATGATTGGTTGTTGTGTAACAGCAGCTTTACAGACTGGCAGCAGACCAGCAGTGAGAGCCAGATCTGTGCTCACATGTATCTCCTCCATCAGCCTCTCTGGCAGGAAACCAGCAGCACTTACTGCCTCGTCTGCGCTCTGAAAACTGAGGAGGCTGCTGAAACAGCTCAGGTTAAAAAAGAAAAACGAGATGTCGTCCCTCTGAGGACTCCTGACTGTGAGGAGCGTTTACAATCAGACGGAGGAAGGCAAACCGCTCCATTATTCCAAAAGGGAAATACAATACGATTACAGTTTCCAAATCAAAGCAGGGAAGATGTTAAGATACATTGACATCAACAATATGAGAAAGAGCAGGGGACTCTTGGTAATAAAAACAAGACTGTAAGAACAAATAACTGCCTCTAGAGAAGCTAAAACGACGCCGCAGTGTAAACACAGAGACATGTGTTTGATTTTTTTCACACAAAAAACCATTTGGAAAATCCACACGTGATATAATAAAAAAATGCAACCTGACCCATTACCCTGTAGAAATGCAAAATCAGCTATAATGACTTTTTTTAAGTTGTTAAAGACTCCTTCAGTGCACATTAATCTTGCAACAGTTTCTTCTTGCACTATTTCGATTGTTTTTTAATTTGTTTTATATCTACATTGCCTTGTTGGAGGAGCCTGGGACTTAAGATTTTGATTACATATTGTTAGAAAAATATCACTCGTGACCGGCTTGAGCTTCAATCTCAGGATCCATGTATCTGTGATCCTCTCCAGAATGGAAGCAGTCATCACATACAGAGCATCAACTAGTTCCTGAACAGTGTCCTTCACATGCTGATATCCAAGAGAGGGAGTTACACAGTCACAAGATGGAGGAATACCGGTTCTTCTAGGTAATCATACATCCTGTCGTGTACAAAATACTGAGTTTTCCTAAAAAACTCAAAATTCGGACTTTTTTCTCAAAATCTCAAAACTCTGACTTTTTCCTCAAAAACTCAAAATTCTGACTTTTTCCTCAAAATTCTGACTTTTTCCTCAAAATTCTGACTTTTTCCTCAAAATTCTGACTTTTTCCTCAAAATTCTGACTTTTTTCTCAAAATTCTGACTTTTTTCTCAAAATTCTGACTTTCTCTGAATACTTAAAAATGTTAATAATCACTCGTCACCGGCTTGAGCTTCAATCTCAGGATCCATGTATTTGTGATCCTCTCCAGAATGGAAGTAGTCATCACATACAGAGCATCAACTAGTTCCTGAACAGTGTCCTTCACATGCTGATATCCAAGAGAGGGAGTTACACAGTCACAAGATGGAGGAATAGAAAGCAGTATTCAATGTTTACTTCAGATTAGCTCCACGTCAGAAATCATCATGCTTGTCATATGTCTATCTCCATAGAGGCTGAATCATCATGTTAATCACATAGCTATCATCTGCCTAAAACAGTCCTGATGCTCTTCTAGGTAATCACACATCCTGTCATGTACACAGCTACACTTGGGATACCTTTGTTATCATGTTACTCTCAGATTGGAAGAGGACATTCAGTGTTTTCCCAACACATATCTACCCTGTAGCTGTGCATATGTGAATAAAGCGTTTGAAGTGCCTCTCACCCTGAGCAGCGTGCAGGTGGAGTCGATGGGGGCTTTGGCCAGCAGCTGGCAGGTCAGGTCGAAGTACGCTTTGGGCTGGACGTCACACAGAGGCATTGTGGGAGATGGGGGGAGGAGGGACTGGTCTGAAGCCCAGGATCGCAGCTCCTCCACCCTCTTCCGGTCCTCCTGGTCGAAGCTGAAGGAGCGGCTGGAGGTCCGCGGCTCCATCGACCCCCCCACCGCTCCGTCAAACGCCATCACGGAGAAACCGAACGTTTTTACCAGCGTCATGGAGCTGTTGAATAACTGCACCTGTGAGGAGAAATGTTAAAATCATTCATCCCTCTTAGGGGTTTTCTGTTTCTGTCTTATCGTGTCATTGTGTATTTCCTTTTTTGTTGTTGTCATTGCTAGTGGACTTGGGATGTTTTTATTCCTGCTTTTCATATATTAAAGGTCCCCTACTAATGTTCATCAATATATTATAGGTCTCAGATATATACAAACATGTCTCTGAAGTGTTTGGCTCCAAACACCAAACAGATCATTGCAGCATTACCCATAATCCCCTCTGTTTCAGCCCTGTTTCAAAAGCGCTGATTCTCTGTCTGTTACTTTAGATGAAAATAAGGAACCCCTCCCCACGCCCCTCTGAGAGAGATTTGGTTACAAAGAACTCAATGGTGCTCTAGGAGGAGATTCAGGTGATAAATTGGGGGGGGGTTACCTTGGTTGGTGATTGGCTAATGGTTACACAAGACAACAAATCATTATGACATCACAAAGTGGCCAAAATCTGATCAGCTCATTTTCAGACAGGTTTTTATAGAAATGGATCAGGACAAAAAGAGAGAGAATCTTTGTTCCTGAAACTTTCAGAGTCTCTTTCCACAGAGGGGACACATGTTGATGAAGAAGAGACATGAAGAAGAGGGGACACATGTTGATGTAGAAGAGACATGAAGAAGAGGGGACACATGGTGATGTAGAAGAGACATGAAGAAGAGGGGACACATGTTGATGTAGAAGAGACATGAAGAAGAGGGGACACATGTTGATGTAGAAGAGACATGAAGAAGAGGGGACACATGTTGATGTAGAAGAGACATGAAGAAGAGGGGACACATGTTGATGAAGAAGAGACATGAAGAAGAGGGGACACATGTTGATGTAGAAGAGACATGAAGAAGAGGGGACACATGTTGATGTAGAGGAGACATGAAGAAGAGGGGACACATGTTGATGTAGAAGAGACATGAAGAAGAGGGGACACATGTTGATGTAGAGGAGACATGAAGAAGAGGGGACACATGTTGATGTAGAAGAGACATGAAGAAGAGGGGACACATGTTGATGTAGAAGAGACATGAAGAAGAGGGGACACATGTTGATGTAGAAGAGACATGAAGAAGAGGGGACACATGTTGATGTAGAAGAGACATGAAGAAGAGGGGACACATGTTGATGTAGAAGAGACATGAAGAAGAGGGGACACATGTTGATGTAGAAGAGACATGAAGAAGAGGGGACACATGTTGATGTAGAAGAGACATGAAGAAGAGGGGACACATGTTGATGTAGAAGAGACATGAAGAAGAGGGGACACATGTTGATGTAGAGGAGACATGGAGAAGAGGGGACACATGTTGATGTAGAAGAGACATGAAGAAGAGGGGACACATGCTGATGTAGAAGAGACATGAAGAAGAGGGGACACATGTTGATGTAGAAGAGACATGAGGAAGTGGATTTTGCATAATAGGTGACCTTTAACTCGCCAAACACAAGACATGGAGACTGAAAGAACTCATGTGCGTGACCTTGACTCTGTGCAGGCGGACGATGTCTCCGATCTGGTAGATCTTGGGATGGTCCTCCAGCTTCTCGCAGAAGATGCTGCAGCTGATCTTCTCGTTGGACTGATCGGTGATCTTCAGGCTGGAGCAGAAATCTGAGGAGGGGAAAACTTCCTGTGGTCAAAACGCTCAGAGATAAGAGCGACAAATACTGAAAACTGTACGGACAAGCTTAAAAAATACTAAGAATATGAAGCTCTACGCGTACGTGTTTGGGATGAAGGACGTACAATTCAACTTTAAAGGGGACCTATCATGCAAAATGCACTTTTGTACGTCTTTTCTACATGAATATGTGTCCCCGGTGTTCCAGGGAACTCACCAAGTGTCAGAAAACACAACCCTCTCTATTTTCCTCCATACCCAAATCTCTAAAAAAGGGGCTGCAACGGATCTGATAAAAACTGATCCAGATTTGAACACTGTCCTGACGTCAGGACGGTGGCGCTACGGCTATTGGGCCAACTCCACCAATCAGGAGGAGACAGCCACGGCCATTGCCGTTCAAAAGTGCTGGAGACGCTGTAGTACATATGCCAGGCCTGTAGATGGTGCTGTTCTCACTGAATCAGCCCTTGCACAAACAGAGCTAAAAGATGTCATATTGAGCAAAATGAGGCATGGCTAAAATGCATGATCTGTTTGATATTTTGAAAAAAAAAAAGTATAAATATGCCTTATATGGTCCTACACTATATTATTCAAATATAGCATGATAGGTCCACTTTAAGGATAAAGCACAGGTCTGAGTTTATCATAAACATAAAAGTACATATTCAGACTTAAAAGGCTTTTCAATTCTGACTTGATTTCACTGTGAATGGATTTGGAAATGGCACACCTTGGGAAAGGTTAACAAGATGAATCATGTAAATAAAGTAAGAGATGTAGCTGAAGGAAACGGGATCATAACCCTCCATCAATTTTCTTCTTAATATTTGCTTCTTGGTTGATATTAAACACGGCACCAATTGATTTAATTGAGGATTTAATATTCCCTGACAAATTGTGTCTTAAAAAAACCATTGGTTGAGTCAAACCTGACTTTGTTCGGCCGGAAAAAGCCATCCAATGTCAGACTTCGGTCATTTGAACCTGCTGTATTTCCCATAAATGCAGCTGTTTTGAATATACAGTACAGGATGCTCAAATGTAGCGTGCCGGTTGAACTGACGATGGATCCACTTTCTGTGTTTGCTTTCAGAGATAGACCCGAAAGAGGGAAGAAATGATTGATGGAATGAAAATGAAACCGTCAGCTGAATCTGTTGATAAACACACACATATATCCTGTAAATACACATATGCGCATGTATCTATCTGACAGTGTGTGTGTGTGTCTCTCTCTGATCAGATGGATTATAGTAATATCTGTGTTTACTCTAAAAGACGCCTGAAGGATCCACAAAAATGACAAAGTTTCCAGCCTGAATGCTGCTTTTTCTTCATCAACACACACACACACACACACACACACACACACACACACACACACACACACACACACACACACACACACACACACACACACACACACACACACACACACACACACACACACACACACACACACACACACACACACACACACACACACACACACACACACACACACACACACACACACACACACACACACACACACACACACACACACACACACACACACACACACACACACACACACACACACACACACACACACACACACACACACACACACACACACACACACACACACACACACACACACACACACACACACACACACACACACACACACACACACAATCAGCTCTGACTAATTAGCTTGCCGGCTCTGTTGTGATTGGTCAACCGCTTAGAGATGTCCCGCCCCCTTAGTCTATCATGTATACTAATGTGTTGGAGAGCTAGCCAACAGGAATGTGAGTGTTACGTAGGGATGTCACTATGTTCAAGAAGTAAACAAAGGAGTCCAATGGAGGCGTTTCAGACGAGAACACGGGGACTTTAGCCTTTGCAGACCATTTACATGCACTAAAACCTATAGAACAGACTACAGGAGAGGGGGAAAAGCAGAATAGTGCCTCTTTAAAAAGCACCTTCCTGTGTGATGCCAAAAAGAACTGACGTTTTTAAAGCCTGTTTAAAACCCAGACATCTATTATTGGACCATCAACACAAACTGAAAATATGTTGATATGCCTCTTCACACCTTTCTGAGTGTGTCTTATGAATAATGTGAGATATTTCCATCCAAACCAAACTGCGTCTGCTCTCTCTCCGCTGATCCATCTTATAAATCGCTTCATGGAATGAATTTCTCTCATTTTCTGTCTCAGAGGAGGTGATGTGGTTTATGTGTTTGGCTCTCTTTACCCGATGACTATCAATCTTTCTTACATTTTTAAAGAAACGCTAAAGAAATCTCGCTCAGAGGAAAAGGTTATTAACGTCTCTGTCCATGGTCCTGAAAACGGGTTATCCAGTTTCCCTATGTTTTAAAAAATAGTGACTGCTCTTTAGTTTATTATACTTTAACATAACAATAAACTGGCTTTTGGATGGATATTAAGAAAAAACTACTTCAAAATGTTGTAAAATTAAGAAAGAAACTGTAAAAACAATATTTTTTATGAACAAAAAAAATAAATGTTGAACTAAAATGATCAAATATTCATGTTTATAAATATTAAATTCTCTTTTTTAATGTAATTCTCAAAATACTGTGACTTTTGTTTTGAAAAATACGACTCAACGGATCGTCAAAAAAAAAAAGATGGCTTTGTGGAGAAAGAGCTACCTGATTATGTGAGAACACCATGCCTTTCGTTTATGATTTACAATATCCTTTTGCTAAAACTGTTATTTTTTATGAAATTAGGACTAGGAAATTGAAGATGCTGAACATGGTTGACATATCTTTCATAATCAGTATGTAAGTGTGAACTGTGAACATGTTAGCATGCTATGTTAGCATTTAGTTCAAAGCACCTCTGTGTCCAAGTGCAGCCTCACAGAGCAGCTAGCAGCCCCGTAAACTCTTTGTTTGCACTCTTATCTATTACAGCGGTTCTTAGGGCTGTGCAATTAATCGTATTTTAATCGCAATTACGATTTTGGCCTGCCACAATTACGAAAAACAACATAATCGAAAAAAACGATTATTTTGCTTTGCTAGGTTGTGACAGTGCACTGCAACATATTTGATCAAATGTATTTTAGTCTAATTTATTTGTATTTATCATATTTACATATGTTTAGTAGCTTGTTGAAGTGCGCTCCAAATATTTGTTGATCTTGTTTATTGGTATTTATTATTTTTGATATTATTTATTTAAATGTAGATATAAATGTATCATTTATTTAATTTATTTATGTATTGGTTTTTCAGTTGAATTATACGTTCAGGGAAATCAAAAGTTAAAAAGATACTGTTCAAATTATTATTAGTATTTAAAAGTTCAATAAATGGATGTTTTCAAAGTCAATGAATAATGGTATTTAATAATCGTGATATCAATTATTGACCAAAATAATCGTGATTATGATTTTTGCCATAATCGCACAGCCCTAGCGGTTCTCAAACTGTGGTCCGCGGACCACACTTTTTATTATCAAAGAATTTCGCGGACCACCTCATATGCAAACTGTAAAAACAAGTACATATAAAAACGTAGTGTTAAAACGCAGATATTTGTTATTGTTAATTATGGACAACACTTCATTTCACCACTGGTTACCCATGGTTACGTGTGCGCGTGCAAAACCACAAACATGGATCGGTGGCTAGCATCAGGTTCTCTGAAGAGAGAAAGGGAAGATTAAGAGAAAGTACAATGGGAAGTGGGATTTACCTCCACAGGCACTGAAGATGAGCCTTTGCCAGTATGCGTTCTGTGCTACGAGACACTGGCTAACGAGAGCCTAAAACCAGCTAATCTTCGCCGTCAATATTGGAATCTGGCTTGTAGATGCCTCTGACTCACTCTCATTATTCATTACTCTGATTCTACCGTGATGAAACGCCATATCATGGATTATCAAGGATTCTTTCTGAAACAGTATGGAGCTCAAAGGCTTTCTCTCTTGCCGGTTATACCACAAGGTGAGTTCCTTTTTATTTCCTGCTTCTTCACACACATGCTCTCCAGTAAAGGTTAGCTCTGAGTGTTAGCGATGCTAATGTAAACACCGACCATATTACGTCCAAAACAGTCGGGCATTGTTTCTGATAGCAACTTTCTGATCGGGCCGTGGGTCCACATTTCAGATATTACGTCATATCGGACGCAAATCTGGATCAGCTCCGTTGTAGCCCCGTTTTTAGAGATTTGGGTACGGAGGAAAAGAGAGAGGGTTTTATTTTCTGACGCTGCGTGAGTTCCCTGACACACCGGGGACACATATTTATGTAGAAAAGACATCAGAAAGTGCATTTTGCATGATAGGTCCCCTTTAACACTACGTTTATATATGTACTTATTTTTACGGTTTGCATACGAGTTGGTCCGCGAAAATCCTTGATAATAAATAGTGGTCCGCGTAAACAAAAAGTTTGAGAACCCCTGATCTATAAGACTTTTCGAGAAACAAACTTATTGAACTGTTTCCACATGTCAAGTCCATCTTATCTCAGCTTGCACACTGACCTGTGCCTCGGGTCTTGAACGGCTGCTTGAAGAAGACCACCACTCCGTACACGTTCACCACAGATCCAGCCGTCAGGTCTCCCAGTCCCACGTACGTATATTTAGGAACCTTTGTCTTCCTGGAAACCTGAGGAGGAACACACAGCTTATATTAGCACGCTATGCTAATGCCGGCTTTAACACAATACTGTTAGCATGCTCAAGAGATACTTCAGATTCTTTAACGCTGGGTTTTAAGAGTCAGTTTATCAGTTCAAGTGGACCAAGTGTAAAGAAAAATATGGTCCCAATTTTTACAAGGTGTGAGGTCTAAAGACTGTTATCAGTGACAGTCTCTATATCATCAAGAGAAAGTGAGATCTGTGGAGAGAGATGGCTCTCAAACAGCTGGGAGCTGACATGAAGCATCCTGACAGAAACAAGACCTACACTACACACACTCTCTAACACACACACACTCTCTACCACACACTCTCTACCACACACTCTCTAACACACACTCTCTAACACACACTCTCTACACACACTCTCTAACACACACTCTCTAACACACACTACCACACACTCTCTAACACACACTCTCTACCACACACTCTCTACCACACACTCTCTAACACACACTCTCTACCACACACCCTACCACACACTCTCTACCACACACTCTCTAACACACACTCTCTAACACACACTCTCTACCACACACTCCCACACACTCTCTACCACACACTCTCTACCACACACTCTCTAACACACTCTCTAACACACACTACCACACACTCTCTAACACACACTCTCTACCACACACTCTCTACCACACACTCTCTACCACACACTCTCTAACACACACTCTCTACCACACACTCTCTACCACACACTCTCTAACACACACTCTCTAACACACACTCTCTACCACACACTCTCTACCACACACACACTCTCTACCACACACTCTCTACCACACACTCTCTAACACACACTCTCTAACACACACACACTCTCTACCACACACTCTCTACCACACACACACACTCTCTACTACCACACACTCTCTACCACACACTCTCTAACACACACACACACTCTACCACACACACTCTCTACCACACACTCTCCACACACACACACTCTACCACACACACACTCTACCACACACACACACTCTACCACACACACACTCTCTACCACACACTCTCTACCACACACTCTACCACACACACACTCTCTACCACACACTCTCTACCCCACACACTCTCTACCACACACACACCCACACCCACACCCACACACACTCTCTACCACACACACACACACACACTCACTCTCTACCACACACACTAACACACACACACACACTCTCTACCACACACAGTAGTGCCTGCAGTTAACCAGGCACTGAGTCTGACCTCAGCGGAGAGCGAGGAGATCCTCTTGGCTGCCGGAGAGGATCTTGAGACAGGAGGAGGAGGAGGAGACACCTGGAGGGAAAGTGAGAGAGGAGACATTCAAGTGATGTATTTTTAAAAAGTATATAAGTATCAAGCGTCTGAAATACCCACTTTATTTGGGATTCTTACCTCTGAATTCTACCACATAAGGGCCACGGTACGTACAAAATAAAAAGAATGGGGGAGATTAAACTATGAAAAACAACTCTTATATTCTCTGAGATTATAAAGTCATTTTTTCGTGTAAAGGATCTGCATCACTTCAGATTTCAGAGTTGGATCAAGCTGTGTGATCAAATCAGCCAACGCGCATTTACATTTCAACTATAATGAAGTGGCGTCAATATGTGGAGATTATCCCGCTGAACGAAACGCGTAAGCATCATAAACGTGTGTTTGCTACAGTTTCATTTCTGCAAAAACCCAAAATACACTGGTTAACTGCCCCAACTTCTGGAAAGGATGTATCATATTGAAAATGAATGCATGACATTGAGCATAATGCACCATAATAAATCTACAGAATAAAACCCATTGGGGGCTTCTGTTAACCATTTGCCTGTGTGTGTTTTAGTTTTTAAATGTTTTGTAAAGCGTGCAAAGTTTATCTGGTCATGTGCACTTAAACTAAACTGAAGTTGAAGCTAAGGCTTTTGAAGTTCAGTTAACTTAAAGTGGACCGATCATGCTATATTTGAATAATATAGTGTAGGACCATACCTATATAAGGCATATTTATACTTCTTTTTTTTCAAAATACCAAACAGATCATGCATTTTAGCCATGCCTCATTTTGCTCAATTTGACATTTTTTAGCTCTGTTTGTGCAAGGGCTGATTCAGTGAGAACAGCACCATCTACAGGCCTGGCATATGTACTACAGCGTCTCCAGCGCTTTGGCAATGGCCGTGGCTGTCTCCTCCTGATTGGTGGAGTTGGCCCAATAGCCGTAGCGCCACCGTCCTGACGTCAGGACAGTGTTCAAATCTGGATCAGTTTTTATCAGATCCGTTGCAGCCCCTTTTTTAGAGATTTGGGTATGGAGGAAAATAGAGAGGGTTGTGTTTTCTGACACTTGGTGAGTTCCCTGGAACACCGGGGACACATATTCATGTATAAAAGACGTACAAAAGTGCATTTTGCATGATAGGTCCCCTTTAAAAGCACATATATACTATTATAAAATACTGTTGTTGGAATACAAACACATGTCACATTACACCTAACACACAGAGAGAACATTTAAAGATTCAGCTCAATACCCTCCTGGAACCCGAGGAAAAAAAGTGTTTTTCCAATTTCCTTTTTTTCTTTTATTTCCTACCTATTTAGGGTTAAAAAAAACATCTTGCAATTTAGACTTTTTTAATTTAATTAGATTTTTAAATGTTACAGTATGTCCACTGTAGAGGACGTCGGGTCCATTTTAGTTTGAAAAGACAGCCAAAAGGAACAGATGGACTATGTAACGTATGATGGTTATAGAGTGATATTAATACAAGAATACATTCAGCTTTAAAACATGAATAAGTAATTGATCCGAACATTGCTGTTTATTTGGTCACTAAAAAACTAGTTTGGTTTTTGGTGAATCTTTCCAGATCTTCAAAGACTTTGTAGTCAATGTATTGGGAAAAGTACCTCATTGACTCCAGTCGGCACGGGCTGTAGGGTCATCTTGACTAGTTTTATGGATGTGGTCTCCATTTGAGCATGCTCATAGAAACAAAGCTTGCATTCCTGAGGCAATTCTCATTTTTCATGGCTCCACTTAAAATGAAAACAACAATAAGACATGCGTGCTACTCTTGGCCCACAGAGGGCCATGTCTTTCCAGCTCGTCCCTATCTGTCGGTCTGTATCTGTGCGCTCATGGAGCCTCCTGCATCTTTCCCCCCCTTCTTCTGGACCCTCTTCTATCCCAGGTGTGAAATCCTCATCTCTCTCATCATCTGAGAGCTCCACATCTGAATCTCCCTTAACTATCTGGTACAGAAAATGTCTGCTTCAGTTCCGTCTCCTGCAACAATATTGAGTCATAAAGTCCATGAAGACGGTCCTGACGTCCACTAGGATGGACATTTATAAAAGAGCTGTTATTTGAAAACTTGAATTATTTAATTGCTTTCAGAACTAATTATATAGTTCCTCACATGTTAATAAACAAGAACATATAGGATTTTCATGGTAAAAATAACAATTATTCAACAATATTTGACTTCTCCTCCTGCTTCTATAAAATGTTGTTTTTGGTATGCCAGCCATTTTGGATGAAAAGAAAGAGGAACTTCCCAGCATGCAATTTTAACCAATGACATCTGTACAGTACATCAGAGATTGATAGAGTAGCTCAAAATAGTAAAAGGAGATGCATGTTAACAAAATGTCCACTACATTTTCAATGGGCTAGGTCCCAGGAGGATATACTAACTAATGTACAACCACTTATTTGGGTAATAACTGCATGTTTCTTGCTGTTCGGAGTTTGTATCTTGGTAATATATTACACTTATCGCAACCTAATGAAATGTTATGTACACATGACTTTAACTAACAAACATCCTCACATAAATGCAGGCGCTGTCCCCCCTCAGCAGCAGGTTAAACGGGTGCAGTTTGTCCTTTTGCACCGTGGGAGATTTCCCCACAGTGAAGCCGGCAGCCACCACCACATCCTGCAGGAAACAACAAGCGGAGAGTCAGGGATTACAAACTGAGAGCATCCTCCTTCCCAGAGGGAGGACAGATTGAAGCGGCAGATGTTGCCTCCTCGCAGACGTGGAGCCAGACGAAGATAAGCGGCTGTGAAAAGTGGAGATTGTCTTTTGTTACGGGTGTCAGTGTTAAAGCTGAGGGCTGACAAAGGGACAGCAGATAGTCTGAATAATCACGTTACAGAGACAAGCAGCGCAACAACACCTCCTGCCTTCAACACGCTTTGCGGTGATTTCAGCTCCATCAGGGTGTGGGGAGAAATAAAGAGCGAGCTGACGGGAGGATTATCCCCGATGTGTTCACTGTCCTCGTCCAGGTTAAAAGCAGACTCAGCGCTCGGTAAACAACATGTGACACTATCAGAGGAAACGGAAAGTAAAACCCCTGAGTCACTTTGTTTGTAGAGTTCAAGGAGCTGTCACCCCAGAGACAGGATGAATAAAGGACACGTTACTTTCTTTGAGACAGACGGTATAAGTAACAGCAAGTGCAGTTTAATACTTCAGGTCACAGAATGATGGAGGCAGCAATGCTTCAAAACACATTCGCAAGTCAATTCCCACACAAACGTATTAACACTGCATTGATTTAGATAAGAAGAGTCAATGATATAGAACATAATGGAGACATTGGTATACATGCTATAAAACACGATGTAAAAACATGCTAATATAAAGTAAAGCGTGAGGTATAACATGCTATAAAACATGCTAATAGAGTCAAACAGGACGTAAAACATGCTAACGTGCTATAAAACATGATGTAAAACATGCTAACATGCTATAGAACATGACGTAAAACATGCTAACGTGCTATAAAACATGATGTAAAACATGCTAACATGCTATAGAACATGACGTAAAACATGCTAACGTGCTATAAAACATGATGTAAAACATGCTAACATGCTATAGAACATGACGTAAAACATGCTAACGTGCTATAAAACATGATGTAAAACATGCTAACATGCTATAGAACATGACGTAAAACATGCTAACGTGCTATAAAACATGATGTAAAACATGCTAACATGCTATAGAACATGACGTAAAATATGCTAACGTGCTATAAAACATGATGTAAAACATGCTAACATGCTATAAAACATGATGTAAAAACATGCTAATATAAAGTAAAGCGTGAGGTATAACATGCTATAAAACATGCTAATAGAGTCAAACAGGACGTAAAACATGCTAACATGCTATAAAACATGATGTAAAACATGCTAACATGCTATAGAACATGACGTAAAACATGCTAACGTGCTATAAAACATGATGTAAAACATGCTAACATGCTATAGAACATGACGTAAAACATGCTAACGTGCTATAAAACATGATGTAAAACATGCTAACATGCTATAGAACATGACGTAAAACATGCTAACGTGCTATAAAACATGATGTAAAACATGCTAACATGCTATAGAACATGATGTAAAACATGCTAACATGCTAGGGCTGAACGATTAATCGATTTTAAATCGAAATCGCGATTTGAAATGATGCGATTATTAAATCGCAAAGCCTGCAATTTAACTTTCTTTTACATTTTTTTTTCTTCTTCTTGTGTGTCAGTCATCCACACCAATCAGAAGTGCTGTGCTCCACATGTACCAGCCATTGTTAACCAATCAGAAGTGGCCCATGATAGAAGGTGATAGACATATTGATCCAATCACCTGCCAAGTATTTTTGAAAGTGCCTGCCCTTTCAAAATGGCTTCCAATGGAGCTTTCCTAGATGGTTTGGTGAAACCATCTGAGTCAGGTTAGTAATGCTCCATCACATGTTCTACATCTATTACAGGGTGAATCTTAAGCTGAAGCTTGACTTTAAAGCAACCCAACGGAAGTTTCATGCAAGTTTAGTTCTTTCACTCGTAGCTCTGGCTGCGGGGGTGCTAGAGACGGGAGCACGTTGATACGACCTTCCTAGCCGGAGATATGGCCGCATTTTACAATAAACTTCCGTTGGGTCGCTTAAAAACAAATATCGCAAATCGAATCGCAATCGCAATATTTTCCCAAAATCGTGCAGTCCTTAAACATGCTATAGAACATGACGTAAAACATGCTAACACGCAATTAAAAATAATATAACATATGAAACAGGCTAATGTAAAGTAAATTAATTTGAATTACTTTACAGACTTAATCTGTAGGGAAGCTTGTGAATTGTCCCCTGAGATCACTAGATTTTTATCTTGGAAGAAATCATGATTTATTAGTTGATGTCCATCCATCCATCTATCCATCCATCCATCCATCCATCCATCTTCTCCCACTTATCCGTGGTCGGGTCGCGGAGGTGCCAGTTCCAGCAGAGAGCCCCAAACGTTCCTTTCCCTGGCCACAACAACCAGCTCTGACTGGGGGATCCCAAGGCGCTCCCAGGCCACCCTGCGGAGAAAACCCATCTCGGCCGCTTGTATCCGCGATCTCGTTCTTTCGGTCATGACCCATCCTTCATGACCATAGGTGAGGGTAGGAACGAAAATGGCCCGGTAGACAGAGAGCTTTGCCTTCTGGGTCAGCTCTCTTTTCGTCACAACGGTGCGGTAAAGCGACTGCAGTACCGCTCCCGCTGCTCCGATTCTCCGGCCCATCTCACGCTCCATTGTTCCCTCACTCGAGAACAAGACCCCGAGATACTTGAACTCCTTCACTTGGGGTAAGGACTCATTCCCTACTTGGAGTGGACAGTCCATCGGTTTCCTGCTGAGAACCATGGCCTCAGATTTGGAGGTGCTGATCCTCATCCCAGCCGCTTCACACTCGAACCGATCCAGTGAGTGCTGAAGGTCGCATAGTTGATATACAATAGATATTTAACTAATGTGTCAAATAAATGTAAAAAGTACAACAATTCCCTCTGAAATGTATCGGAGGGGAAATATAAAGTAGCATATAAATGAAAATACTCACTTAAAAACCATTAAAAGTATCATTTAAGCACGGGAGAGTCAGTTACACACACTTCTCCTAGACATACCATATGTAAATGAATTCATCTCATCCTACAGAATAATGTCATACTCATTAAAAAACAAAAACTATTCACTCAGCTCATTACTTTATTCAAATTAGAGGCTTTGTGATGCAGAGAAATACAATTTCCTCAGCCACGCCTCTCAAAGAGCCTCGTTCTTTAATGAAAATAACATATTACAATCTCATCAGCCTAACATGAATATTTATATCATAATTATATAAAAAGGAGGGAGCTTCAATGGAGTAGCTCCTACAAACTGACATAAATCAGTTTAATATAATATAGTAATTCCTCTCATTTAAAGTAGGGTGACAGGTGAGGAAGGGAATCAACTGAATAAGCTGAACAGCAACAATACAAAATGCAGTTTAATAAAGAAATAACATCAAAGAAAAAATTAATCAATTCTCATTTACACAGATTTTCAATTATACCATAAAATAAGTAGATTTAGAGCAAAGAAAACACACAAAAAATAGGTGTGTTTGGTTGTTAGTTTTACCCTTATATGAAGATTAAGAATTCATTTTACAGATAGAAACACGGTTAATAACGGTAGAAAATTTACTTTTGGAGGTGGCAAATGTAATATGTAAAGGCCCAGACACACCAAACTGACACCAAAGAACACGTCCCGACGGACCCGACTGTTGTGTCGCCTCACGTCTCCTGCGTCTTGGCCAACAGTCGCACTGGAACACACCGCAAAGACTTCAGCCGACGGCCAAGTAGCACGTACGAACTGCGCATGCGTGAGTGGCTAGGGCTGCTCGATTATGGCAAAAATCATAATCTCGATTATTTGGGTCAATAATTGATATCACGATTATTAAAAACGATTATCCATTTACTTTGAAAACATCCATTTATTGAAAAAGAAAATGTGAACAGTATGTTTTTAACAGTTGATTACCCTGAACTTTAAGTATAATTCAACTGAAAAACAAATACATTTAATTATTTAAAAATAATAAAAAAATAAAAATAATAGTTTTATTTCGATTATGTTGTTTTCATAATCGTTGCAAGCCAAAATCGTAATTGCGATTAAAATACGATTAATTGAGCAGCCCTATGAGTGGCAATAACTCTCCTTACCAGCGGGTGGCGGTAGTGTGTATTCGTCATTCAAAAGAGGCAACCGGAAGACAGACTGCGTGATACACCGAGAGAAGAAGAACAGACTGCGTGATATAAACAAACAACAAATAGTGTGTGTTCCATTTTCACTCTCGTCCATCACAGACTGTTTCACATAGCGACTTACAATCGAAAACATGTTTAGTGCGGTACTGGCGGTACACAGCCGTGTGTGTGCATACTCGTTTGTTTGCATACCTCACTTCCGTTTCGCTTCTCATGCACTGATTCGCTAAGCTGAACAGCCAATCAGAGTGATTTATTTTGCCGACAGAAAAAGACACGACGGTGCGGGACACACCAATCTGAGTAGGGCGACAGGACGCTCATCGACGGCCAGACATCTATCGACGGCCGAAACCGGCTTGGTGTGTCCGGGCCTTTATATGTACCAACATACATTTATATCTATTTGTTTATTTATCTTAGTCAGTGTTTAATATTTTCTGTGGTTTTCTGTTTTTTCTCTCTTACAGTATGTGTAGGTCTTTCTTTTGTATCATCTTACGACTATTCAGAAATATAAAAAAATATTGAACATAAAACAAAACAAAAAAGCTAGAAAAAGAAAATATAGAAATGGTATTATAAGGAATTGTTTGGGAGCATTAAAGCTTCAGTGAAAGCTATTCAGAGGTGCAACACGCTGGAGCAGATTCACACAAATAATGGCAGTAATTGTAATTTCGTCAAATTATATTTTTTCTTAAGACTTTTTTTTAACCTAAACTTCTTATATTTTCTTTAAATATTTGATTGTATTTTATCTTTTCTTATTATGAAACCTTTTTAACTTTAAATGATTGTCCTTATATAAAAAAATGGTATTCTCTTCTTATTCTAAAACGGGTAAATGTCTTGAAATCTAATTTCTCTCGGGGATGAAAAAAAAAAATGCCTCAGAGAATAATAATAATAATAATAAAGTTATTCTTTACTTGTTTGATTTGAGCTTAGTGTCGGACCTCTCAGGGCTTTGTAAGAAATCAATCATCTTTAAACTAATTATAAAAACACAGGTAGTGTAAGGAAACAAAAATCTATAAAACGAGGCCATGTTTTCTCGTCCCAGCTAAATTATTATTAAAATTCAATATAGTTTAAAAATATATATATTTCATTTGTTTAAATTAATATGAAGAGTCAAGAAAAAATTAAGATGATAGCGCAACAGAAAATAGAGAAATATTTGGCATTATTTTTGTGTTAGCAGCTTTTTCTAAAACAACCATCTGTTGTTATTTAGCAGGAAACAGTGAATGCATCATAAAAGACACATTAGAAAATACATACTTTTTGCTTTTAAAGGTCTCCTACTAAATTACACACACACACACACACACACACACACACACACACACACACACACACACACACACACACACACACACACACACACACACACACACACACACACACACACACACACACACACACACACACACACACACACACACACACACACACACACACACACACACACACACACACACACACACACACACACACACACACACACACACACACACACACACACACACACACACACACACACACACACACACACACACACACACACACACACACACACACACACACCAGAGGCGAGAGAAGGAAACAGAAAATAACTCAAACTGTAAATTAGATTTAGCAGCCAGGCGTCGTCATCTCCATCTTCCTCCACACTTCCTCACAGCAGGGTGTCTTCACACACTAAATATAGATCCATATGATACATAATTCATATCTCAGTTTAAACTAAAAATAGTTTTTCAATACGCAAATCTAAGTCTGCCAAGTTTCTTCCCTTTTATGGGCCTTGGTAAAAATAGCAAATGCAGTCTAGTTTAATTTAGAACTATTATCTTATTTTAAAGAGTTATGAGATGTGTAGGAATATTTAGAAAGAAAATATGTGCTATTTCTGAGAATTGTGTTATTATTATTTAAATTTTTTATTAAGCTCATCTCATGTTTTGTTGTTAACACTTGACATTAAATTTACCGGACTACTTTCTGCCGATTGATAGGACTGCACAAAGTCCCTTTAGCAAACTTAACAACGGTCTATTCTCCTTAGCAACGGTCTGTTAGCGAGAATTAACAACCTCTGGAATGTCAAATTTGACCAATCAGAATCGCGTATTCGGCTAAGCCATGGCAATAATAAATGAGCGGCTTCAAGAAATGACAGTGACATGACAGTTGTTGTACCGTCACACATGTTTCTGTCAGAAAGTGTTAACATCATGTGTTTGACGGCAGAGTGAACGTACCCCTTGATTGACAGCTCCATCGAAGTCCTTGGCGATCGCTCCGAACAGAATGACGTTGATGGACGGGTTCTGAGGGGAGGCGTCCGGCGGGGAAACTTCTTCTATGAAACAAACGCAGAACATGAACATGATGAGGCATTGAGGTGACATACTCCATCATGTATTAGAGGTACATACTGCATATGTCAACATGACATCTTCGCAGTACTTCTGGTGTCATGCTTTTGTGCTAAAGGTCACCTATTATGCAAAATCCACTTCTTCATGTCTTTAATACATCAACATGTGTCCCCACTTCTTCATGTCTCTTCTACATCAACATGTGTCCCCTCTTCTTCATGTCTCTTCTACATCAACATGTGTCCCCTCCTCTTCATGTCTCTTCTACATCAACATGTGTCCCCTCTTCTTCATGTCTCCTCTACATCAACATGTGTCCCCTCTTCTTCATGTCTCTTCTACATCAACATGTGTCCCCTCTTCTTCATGTCTCTTCCACATCAACATGTGTCCCCTCTTCTTCATGTCTCTTCTACATCAACATGTGTCCCCTCTTCTTCATGTCTCTTCTACATCAACATGTGTCCCCTCTTCTTCATGTCTCCTCTACATCAACATGTGTCCCCTCTTCTTCATGTCTCTTCTACATCAACATGTGTCCCCACTTCTTCATGTCTCTTCTACATCAACATGTGTCCCCTCTTCTTCATGTCTCCTCTCCATCAACATGTGTCCCCTCTTCTACATCAACATGTGTCCCCTCTTCTACATCAACATGTGTCCCCTCTTCTACATCAACATGTGTCTCCTCTTCTACATCAACATGTGTCCCCTCTTCTACATCAACATGTGTCCCCTCTTCTACATCAACATGTGTCCCCTCTTCTACATCAACATGTGTCCCCTCTTCTTCATGTCTCTTCTACATCAACATGTGTCCCCTCTTCTTCATGTCTCTTCTACATCAACATGTGTCCCCTCTTCTTCATGTCTCTTCTACATCAACATGTGTCCCCTCTTCTTCATGTCTCCTCTACATCAACATGTGTCCCCTCTTCTTCATGTCTCTTCTACATCAACATGTGTCCCCTCTTCTTCATGTCTCTTCTACATCAACATGTGTCCCCTCTTCTTCATGTCTCCTCTACATCAACATGTGTCCCCTCTTCTTCATGTCTCTTCTACATCAACATGTGTCCCCACTTCTTCATGTCTCTTCTACATCAACATGTGTCCCCTCTTCTTCATGTCTCTTCTACATCAACATGTGTCCCCTCTTCTTCATGTCTCTTCTACATCAACATGTGTCCCCTCTTCTTCATGTCTATTCTTCTTCATGTCTCTTCTACATCAACATGTGTCCCCTCTTCTTCATGTCTCTTCTTCATCAACATGTGTCCCCTATTCTTCATGTCTCTTCTACATCAACATGTGTCCCCTCTTCTTCATGTCTCTTCTACATCAACATGTGTCCCCTCTTCTTCACGTCTCTTCTTCATCAACATGTGTCCCCTATTCTTCATGTCTCTTCTACATCAACATGTGTCCCCTCTTCTTCATGTCTCTTCTACATCAACATGTGTCCCCTCTTCTTCATGTCTCTTCTTCATCAACATGTGTCCCCTATTCTTCATGTCTCTTCTACATCAACATGTGTCCCCTCTTCTTCATGTCTCTTCTACATCAACATGTGTCCCCTCTTCTTCATGTCTCTTCTACATCAACATGTGTCCCCTCTTCCTCATGTCTCTTCTACATCAACATGTGTCCCCTCTTCTTCATGTCTCTTCTACATCAACATGTGTCCCCTCTTCTTCATGTCTCTTCTACATCAACATGTGTCCCCTATTCTTCATGTCTCTTCTTCATCAACATGTGTCCCCTATTCTTCATGTCTCTTCTTCATCAACATGTGTCCCCTCTTCTTCATGTCTCTTCTTCATCACCATGTGTCCCCTCTGTGGAAAGAGACTCTGAACGTTTCAGGAAAAAAGATTCTCTCTCTTTTTGTCCTGATCCATTTATATAAAAACCTTTCTGAGTCTTAGTGTTTTTGACCCTAAGAAACACTGATGCATTAATCAATAACAATAATCCACAGCTCTTCTCTCTGCTCCAAATATATATCCCAATGCCCCCCCCCCCCCCCCCACTCAGGCAGCACCCCCCCAAAGCAGTAAACCTAGGGGAAACACTGGACTGCATATGTCAACATGAATTCTTATCAGTACTCCTGATGTCATGCTTTTGTGTTAAGCACAGGATTTATAGTAACAAAAAAAAGGGTCTGCTTTACTTATGAGACAACGACCCATCAGAATGACAGTGGATTTTAGGAATGCCTCGAAGAACACAAGACCAAAAAAACATTAGTGAGTCTGCAACTGATCAAACACAAAATCCCACAATGCACCAGCAGGTCAAATACTGTAGACAAATTGTCTATAAAACAACAATACAGGAGAGGTGAGAGACACGGGGGGGGGGGGGGGGGGGGTGTCAGAGAGTTAAATGGATAAAAGGAAGGACGTCCCCCTCCACAATAAGAGTCTCAGCTCTCTGTGGCTGCTCAGAGATAAGAGAGGCCGGAGACAAGACAACAATGGCGTCCATCTGCTTCTACTACACACTCCAGATAAACGGCTTAACACACAAACACACACACACACACACACAGTGAAGCACTACACACACCATCAACGCTGCAGAATAACAGCTCTATGATTCAGGATCCCAAACATCCTACCAAGAAATAAAGAGGGGCACATTTTAAACTGAAGACACACTTAGCTTAGCTTTTAATTAGCAATACCCTGTCTATTGGTCTTTATTTTCAATATATTTATTCGTGAATATATAATTATTTTTCATTTTTGTAGAGATGATATTGAATTAAATATAGTATATATGATATATCATAATAATAATAATAATAATAAATTATATTTATATAGTGCTTTTCATGAACTCAAAGACGATCATATTTTGAAATGTATTTCAAGAATAAACAAACAGCTGATAAACACAGAGACAAATGAATTTACCTTGGATGATAATCTTTAAAATAAAGTCTCCAGATGCTGACGACACCAGCGGGCATTTTCGCAACACTTTTCCCTGGAGGAAAACAAAAAAACACTTAATTTAGACAAACTGAAAAACATGTAGCGCCCGTCAGCTGATCAAAGCCACCTCAGAAGAGTGAGAAGCGATGATGAGCTGTGAGAGAGGCGCTGGATTATTCTGACGCTTTGGTTTTCACAAATATATTCGGCGGCGTACTAATCAAAGAAAAACAGCCTTGTGTTAATAAAGACTGAAACGAGAGAACAGGTGGTGACAGGTGACAGATAAGTGGAAAGGGGATGAATACCAGAGCAGGAAAACACTTGACTCCACAGGACGTTGAACCTTTGAAGGCTCTACAGAAGATAGTTTAGCTAATTTATTTCTTAAAGAGGATATTTTCTGCTCAGGTGTATATCAGTATGTAGTGTCTCTACTTTAAAGAGTCCTCTCCTGCTGATGTTCAGGTGTATATCAGTATGTAGTGTCTCTACTTTAAAGAGTCCTCTCCTGCTGATGTTCAGGTGTATATCAGTATGTAGTGTCTCTACTTTAAAGAGTCCTCTCCTGCTGATGTTCAGGTGTATATCAGTATGTAGTGTCTCTACTTTAAAGAGTCCTCTCCTGCTGATGTTCAGGTGTATATCAGTATGTAGTGTCTCTACTTTAAAGAGTCCTCTCCTGCTGACGTTCAGGTGTATATCAGTATGTAGTGTCTCTACTTTAAAGAGTCCTCTCCTGCTGATGTTCAGGTGTATATCAGTATGTAGTGTCTCTACTTTAAAGAGTCCTCTCCTGCTGATGTTCAGGTGTATATCAGTATGTAGTGTCTCTACTTTAAAGAGTCCTCTCCTGCTGATGTTCAGGTGTATATCAGTGTGTAGTGTCTCTACTTTAAAGAGTCCTCTCCTGCTGATGTTCAGGTGTATATCAGTGTGTAGTGTCTCTACTTTAAAGAGTCCTCTCCTGCTGATGTTCAGGTGTATATCAGTATGTAGTGTCTCTACTTTAAAGAGTCCTCTCCTGCTGATGTTCAGGTGTATATCAGTATGTAGTGTCTCTACTTTAAAGAGTCCTCTCCTGCTGATGTTCAGGTGTATATCAGTATGTAGTGTCTCTACTTTAAAGAGTCCTCTCCTGCTGATGTTCAGGTGTATATCAGTATGTAGTGTCTCTACTGTGACATGTCTCCATGCTTTAATGTTCAAAAGCATTTACATGCACTAAAACCTAAATAATATGCTACAGGAAATGTGTTTGTTCTATCTATAACAACAAACAAGGAGAAAAATATCAGTCTTGTAATTTTGTTAAAATGAAAGTACCTTGACAGTTTTGTCGGAGAAGTTGGTGCTGGTGCTGATGAGCGCGATGGAAACACAGCTCAGGTGTTTCGGTACCTGGGCGCCTGGCCCCGCCCCCTCTGAGAGCACATGGACAGGCATGACATCAAGGTGACCTGAAGGACACATCACACATTATATACTGTATAACAAACTGGTTAAAGTTGACCGATATTACAACTGAGATATGATCCGTGGTATCAGAGGGAATGGTCATCTTTTAAACATTATTCATATTAGTTAGAATTGTCTGGTTGTAGGCCAGAACTTCCCTACAATACTTAATTCATAAGAAAATGTTACTTGTCCGAAATGTATTCAGACAAGTAAATTGCCAAACTCACTTGTCCATGGACAAGTACTCTCTAAAAACTTTTTCTTACACTGTTAAGATAACTTGTAACCGTAAGTTATAGTATATCAGTGGTTCTCAACTGGTCAGGCCTCGGGACCCACTTTTTCCTTTGTCAATAAATCGAAGAAAATAAATAAATGTATTACAACCCGACATATTAATAATATTTTATGCCATTGTTTGTTTTTCACTTTGTTCTGACAGCTTGCTGCTCCTCACAGAGAGAAGAGCAAAGAGGAGATAGTCTGTGTGAATTACTTTAAATTGTGGGTAAGGTAGATAGCCCCCATTGTTCTGTGACCTGTCAATCATCAAACCGGGAGTCATATTTCATTATGTGTTCATTTGTATCTGAAGTTGTACCCATGGATGTATAAAGAATAGTTCTACTGCAAAGTTATTCTCCGTGGGGACTTCCGGCAACAATCTTGATTCTGATTGGCCAGAAGACTCGAAAAAACATCAAAACCGTTGATGGTCTCCGGTACTTCCAGTCCAACGCCTACTGCATGCACAGCGTTAGAGAATCAGGCCTTCAAAATAAAAGTTTGACTTCTTCACTCGCACATCTGCGACCCACTCGAAACGGGTCCGCGACCCACTTTTGGGTCGCGACCCACCAGTTGAGAACCACTGTCTTAAAGTGTATCTTATCTTATCAGATGCCTGGAAACAGACATTTAACAAGATATGACAATATGTTCAAGACTCTAAAGAACTAGAGAGTTCAGTCTCTGGTTTATTTCAGAATTACGTCTCCCTGAATCGTCCGATGTTCAGTTTGTCTGGTTTGAACAGAAGTGAAGGCTTCAATCTGTCGTCCCGTCTTCTGACAGACTCTGATCCGACCCGTTACTCCTGCTTTTTATTTTATTTTTTACAAGGTCTTCAGTTTGAGGTCCAGCAGAGTGACCGTCCTCCTCCACCACAGACGACTCATTACCAGGATAAAGAAGCGTCTGACAGTGATTACTACGGGGATAACATCAACGAGGGACAATTATTCAGATAACTTCTAACCGTAAGTTATAGTATATCTTAAAGTATATCTTATATTATCTTATCAGGTACCTGGAAACAGACATTTAACAAGATTAGACAATATGTCCAAGACTCGGAGTTCAGTGTCTGGTTTATTCCAGGTTTGTGAAGAATGACATCTCCTTGAATCATCCGATGTTCAGTTAGTCTGGTTTGAACAGAAGGGAAGGCTTCAATCTGTCGTCTCGTCTTCTGACAGACTCTGATCCGACCTGTTACTCCTGCTTTTTTTATTAAAGGTCCAGCAGAGTGACCGTCCTCCACCACCATGACGACTCATTACCAGGATAAAGAAGTGTCTGACAGGAAGCACCAGATCCATGTCGACAGCGCGGGTTAAAGTCTGCGATGGCATTTCAGAGAGGAACCCAGAAAAGTGTTGGCTGTGTTCCCAGCAGGTAGCACGTTGCTTCCTGTCAGAGCTTGTTAGTTTGATGCGCGGCAGATTTGACCGGCGAGTCCCTCGGTGGTATGGCGTTGAAGGAGGACGGCGGAGCGGGAACAGCCTGCGAGGGACGGAGAGATGTTCACTCGTCCGTACGCTCGCTGCTCAGCCAGGCGGAAAACACAGCCAGGATAAAAAAAAGAAATCAAACAGAGCTACCTGATTTAGACCAGAGGGCCTGCATTACTGCATGATGAGGGATTCAGTGTTCAGAGCAGTTCTGAAGCTCCTGAAGGTCTGTCTGTCTCTCAGTCTGGGCCTAAAAATATCTCAAACCTCTGCTACACATATATTTTTTGTCTTTTATTTTCTGCACACACATATTTAATGTATATGCCATTCCTTGCACACTTAAAGGTGGGGTAGGTAAGTTTGAGAAACCGGCTCGAGATACACTTTTTGTTATATTCCATGGAATGCTCTTAACATCCCGATAGCAATGAATATCTTAAGTGCTTTGACAAAAAATCCATAAAAAAATGTCATCTTTGAAGCCGTAGTACTGTAAAAAGCACGACCAGCCTGTCCGGCTAAAATAACTGGATGGCCTACCTGCCTGTCAGCCTTCCATCTGTGCACAAACTTATCTCGTGCCCTCATTGGTCATGTGCGCGTTCGTGTGTGTTGGAGGAGGGGCTCTGTAAGGAAGTGGCAGATTTTCTCCGGTTGTGTATTTTCAAATTCTAGCGATCTCGAGACGGTTTCTCAAACTTACCTACCCTACCTTTAATGCTTTAATAATAGCCTACGTTTAAATAGCTGTAATGTGGCCCTTCATATTGTTTATTTGTCAGACAGTCTGTCACGGTCAACTCAAATAATATGCAATGCCTTTGTTTTAACATGCTGCTGTGACTGTAACGGAAATATTTCCCAATTTGTGATCAATAAAGTATATCTTGTCACTTTTTAAATCTGCACAGCTCTCCACTTTGAATATATGTTTGTCATATTTTGTCATATTTTACAATACTCAGTTTCTCACATATTTATATTTTGTGTAAATATTGTCTTTATTTTGTATTTGTTACAATAGTCTTTAAAATTGCTTTTATAAAATAAAATGTTTTTCTTTCTTTCTGTGTCTTAGTACGCACCATTTACACCAAAGCAAATTCTTTGGATGTGTAAACGTAGTTGGTGATTCTGAATCTGAGTAATGCTTCTCCTATGACCTGATGATCTGACTGGGAAAACCTGGGAAAGACCGGCAGATTTAAATACTTTCGGTCAGCTGAAACTAAATTCCACTATGCAGAATTTGAAATGATTTGAAAATATGCTGAATAGACGAGTTAGCAGCACCAGCCGCTATCATGGAAGAGCACAACGAGATGCCATCACACTCAGGGAGAAACTCAAAAATAAAACACAGATAACATTTGACCTGAATTTCTCCCATTTGTCCCAGAAATATAAATATTTTTCCGGACATGTTGACCAACAACAAGCGGCCAATCCACCCGAAGCTCACATGGCAGCTCAGAAGGATTTCAACAGTGTAAACAAAAAAATATAGTCTTTTTTAGTCGGTGCACACAGGACTTGTAATAAAATCTGAAGTAGTGAACGTGTCAGATTCTTTGTCAATTTACACGAGAGGTTCTCAAAGTTTTGATGCCCGAACAAAGATTTAGGAAACCATCATTGATAAGTTGCACAGATATAACAATAGATCCTTCAAGCACCAAATTCACATTTTGCAGATCAGGAAGATGATATCCATCCCCCGACTAGATTTTATACTATTCCAGAAACCTTGATTTTCTCCTCAACCATACTGCGTTTATTAATGTTGAGGCATTTCCATCTTACTTCTACATTAAATTGCTGAGTTGTCCACCGAAATTGCTCAAAACCGAATACTTTGTTCATCCAAAAAAGGTCCAATAGTCAGTCTGAGAAAAGTCATCTTCTAGGTACATTTCATCAGTGTAGCCCACACTTATTAAAGAGACCCTATTATGTGTTTTGGGGTTCTCCCTTTCCTGTAGTGTGTTATATATATAGGGTTTCGTGCATGTAAATGGTCTGCAAAGGCTAACATCCCCTGTGTTCCCTCTTCTTTGATATCTCATGGCACCTTATTACAGCTGCCATTCACCCCGAATAAATAAAGACCCTCAAAGGGATTATACGAGTGGCTTAAAGGTTTCAATTTGCCCTTATGAACTAACATCAGAGAGTTGCATCTGATATCATCTTCTGCCAGGGATTCAATGAGAGATCCATTAACCTCAGAGTCTAGGGAAACAGGTTTTATGCCTAAGGGGAAACAGCCATCAGAACACAACCGAGACAGCACACTGTAACATAAACCTGAAGTATATCTGTGTAAGTTAACATTGAGGGCGTCAAGGCTCATTCTTGTAGGATATTTAAAACTGTGCCACATTAACAGGGCTCCGCTTCTTGACTCGCACGTTAAAAACAGTCCAAATAAAACTCTGTAGGCGCTGATTTCTTTTAGAGATGTCCCGATCCGATCACGTGATCGGCGATCGGAGCCGATCACGTGATTTTCAAAAGATCGGAATCGAGGGGGAAAAATCGGGGATCGGAATGTTTTTTTTTTTTTTTTTTTTAATAATAATTTTTTTTTCTTATTTTATTTAATGTTACAAAACAACAATGACCATGTTCACATCTTAAAGTCATCCTGAGGCCTTAGTTTTGGTTTAAAATGACACAACATCATGTATGTGTTGCTTCTTTTGGGCTTGTTTTCATAGACCTGGTTGCTTATTTCTCTCAAATCTGGCAACAGAGTGGGCGCAGTGTCTAATAGTAGCAGTAAGCTAACGAGAGGCTACGTTCAGCTGGTGCCTCGGGACAGAGAAAATGTCAGGAGTTTGGAAGTATTATAAAATTGAAAGCGAAGGCAGTGTAACAGCCAGATGCAATGTTTGCAAGGCGGAGGTTCTGCGTGGTGGAAAGAACAGAGCTACGTTCAACACGACCAATCTAATACGCCACCTGAGAAACAAACACCAACAACAACACGACGAGTACACAGCGGCCACTCACGTAACGGCACTGAAACAACCAACACTTTCAGAGACTTTTAAAAGGAAAGAGAAACTGCCCCAGAACAGTGAAAAGGCCAAAAAGATAACAGCCAAGATAGCTGAATTCATCGCGTTGGATGACCAGCCGTTATCTGTGGTGGAGAACGTGGGGTTTAAGGGACAACTTGAATGTTTTTCTCCTTTTTTTTTTCTCTTAATGCATTGCATAAAGATCGGATCGGGAAAAATCGGTATCGGCAGATTGTC